GGGGGGATGGGTGGTTATAATGTCAGAAGAAGCAGCAAGAATAAGTCATATTCAGGAGGAGGGTGAATGGTCAAGACTAACAGACATACACGTTGTATTTTAACAGTTTCGAACACTGGAACAGCCTCTTGTGAATCCTATACCACACAACAGGGAAATAAATAAATAAATACAAGGCATATCTGCTTAAACCATTCCAAGTTATTAATTTCCCTCTTAAAACAGGATTAGGATAATTAATCAGCGAGCTCCTCTGAGCGGCTTCTTAAGAATCACAGCAGACGACCCCGAAGCGTGCGAACTGCGAAGGCCCGGGTCCTTCTTCCACAGAGCTGGAACAGAAGCTCGAAATTAGTCCTCCGTGCATCATAACGGAAATGGGACGCGGGCGAGATCAGGGCGGCAGGCAGCCATTAAGGCACCTTCACCCGGCGAGGGGGGGGGGGTGCGTTAGTAACATGGGGAGCGGGTCACCAAGCCTCAGGGCGAATCTCACAGAGCAGGGCGGCGCCCCCAGTGGAGTTGAGAATGTATAACGCTGGGGTACATGCGATTACGGGCCGTCGGCATAGATAAGCCTGCATTACAAGCCCTCTGAGGGCGGAGCGCTTCACTGGCGACTCGACACCCAGCAAATCCGCCAGATTAAATGTTCATTAACTTTAAACCCAGTTTATACGCGGAGGCACCACGACATGGGGACAACACGCAACGACAAATCGAGGCGGGTTACCGAGCGAGCCGACCAATGGGGAGAGGAAACGGCTTAGCAGTTAGAATCCAGCCACTGCGCAGAGGGCAGGCCTGCTCATCACCCTGGGCTAACCGAAGATTAAAACCGCTCTCCTGACAGCGGTGCATGCAGCCTGCCAGAGCTCTCAGGGTGAGCCTGTGGGGGCAGCACTAGGGGGCGGGGCATCGGCTGGAGGAGGGAGCTCATCAAAGGACTTAAAGAAGTAACCCATACCTGACCACAGATGATCTGCTTGGGAAATCCACAGAAATGTGAATAATTTAAAGGCTATTTAACTGATTCAGGGCCCACAGATGCTCTGTGAAGCGGTTTACAGTCAAGCTGCTGAACAATATTAGATCGTTTACTAATTACCCGCAGAGTGGGGGGGTCCAACATTTTGTGGCTTTTTAATTACATAAAAACTACCCTACGGCTGGTTGCGGCAGAGACGCCCCCTACAGGCAGAAGCGGCTCTGACAGGAACAGGTGTGTGAGGTGTGTGTGCCATGCTAATCCAGGACAGGCCACTGACCACAGAACAACGCTAACAATAATAGGGCGGTGGTGGAGGGGGGCTCAGAGAATGAGGGACCCCCCCCCCCAGGAAGGAGGCCAGGTTGTCCAATGGTGCTCTTAAGCACGGAGGCCCTGCTTGGATGGTGGACGAAGAGGAATCAGCTGAAGAAGCCTTTCCCAATGCTGGCAGCTACCGACCGAGATCGACCCGCCGCCGCAACTCGCCCGCAGTGAAAGGAGAGAGCGGGGCGTCGGGCTCTGACGCGGAGGGGGGGAATGGGGGGAGATGGGGGGGGCTTTCTGCTTCCCGGCAGTGCGCTGCTGTGTCAGTGAAATACTATAATACTATAGAACAGGAAGGGCAAGCGGAGCTCCCTGGACACCTGGCCCCGCCCTTGCCGTCAATAAAAGGGGGGGGGTAGTCAACGATTCCCAGTTGTCAGCGCCGCCTTTCAAAGCCAGCTCATGCCAAGTCAACCGCATGATGCAGCGGGGGTCAGCAGCCGCGACCCGGGGGTCAGAGGTCGGCATGCGCCGGCCCAGTGCGGGCGGTGAGGGTGACTTCCTGCCTGACAGCGCTGGGACTCCATTGGTACTTCCTGTGCAAACGAATGTCCCAGCTGGACCCCCACAGACAGACGGGTCCAATTTAGAAATATAAAGACAAACTTATATTAGACAGAGAGCCCATTAAACTTCACAGAGAACATCTACTTAGAGCTAATGGAAAACAGAAGAGTAATAACACATTTTCTTTATAAATAAATGCACGTCAAATAAAGGGTCCCTTCTTTACGGTCATTATTATCCATGTCTATAAAAAACCTTCCATAAGAACGGTCATGCATGCTGGCTAATAGCAGCACTCCCCCCCAATCCCAAGGGTCCTGCCCAGCCACGTCTCTGCCACACACCAAAAGCCCCCCTCCCCTTCAGGCACGTATTGATTGAATTACATGTGGTCGATGTGCGGATCCAGTCATGCCCTGGGACAGCTTTTCAAGGTCATAGTCCTGTGGAGAGCTGGGCTATTGGATGCATGTGGAACGCGCAAACACACAGAGTGTCTGTATACATACACGCACATCTACAGACACGAGTCGGTAAGCCCCCACCCCCCCCCCCCATCAGCTGATGGATCACAGGTGCCCGCCATGCGGCACACGCACTGCCAGCTGCCTCCTGCGAGTGTGAGAGGCGTGAGTCACGCGGAACGCTGCCACCGTGCCGGCGAGGGCCGTCACAGATCACATCTGCTGTAGCGACCCCCCAGCTGCATGTTACCCAGCATGCCTCAGTCACCCCTTCCTGATTCTAACCAGCACACTTACGGTTCCTGCACAGGTCTCAGGCTTAAAAAGGGCCACTCCAGATTAGATGCTGTGTGGGGGCCGGGTGAGAAGCATCTACTCACAATCTGCAAATGCTCCACGACAGGAAACATTAAGGAACGACGGCACTGCACTCCGTATATAAGACAAAAAAAATCACCGGAAGAGAAAAGGAATCTTAGGACCCAACGCTCTGCATCAGTAACGGGGATTCAGGATGCTGGATGTGGATGAAGGCTGGGCAGCCAAAGGCGTCTTCGGCGAGAAGAACGATGGGAGCGAATTCGACAGATCAATGAGGCGGCATAAACTTGGCGCAAGATAAGAGAGGAACTCGCAGAAAAGAGTGAGTACAGTGAGTGAAGGTTCCGGCGTCGAGACAGACTGGCTGAGAACAAACCCGGGGGGGGGCACAGCGACCTGGTCAGTAACGCGGAGGGATCGTTTTCTGCAAAGTCAGTACCGGTTTGACGCAACGTGACGCTGTGAAGGAACCTCAACGGGCTTTGGGACGACGCGCATACTCCAGTGAGGTGTGGCGGCTTCAGGTAGCACCCCCCCCCCACCACGCTCAGAGCATGTGAGCCACAACGCTTTATCCTGAACGACACTTCTCACATTTCAGCGTCGTGTGAAAACCACGCGGATCAGATACTCTCCACAAAATGTTCATGATACCTCCGCAGCATTCGTTCAGTCAGCCGTGGCCATGTCCATCCTACCCCCCCCCCCCTTCGGTTTAGCAACCAATCGGTTTTCACACCGCAGAAATGTCTATCGTCGGAAAGCCGATGCTGGCCACCATTTCGGGGGCGCGGTTCTCGAGGCAGACTGCTCCGGTCTCTTGCTCACACGTCCCGACGTATGACAACGGAGAGCGCGACTTGTGGAAAAGATGATGGATCCTCTCCTTTTCTCAGGAAGAAAAATAGCTCCCTCCTCGACAAGGGGAGGTTAGGTTGCTCTAAAAATACCCAGCAAAAGGGAGCAAGTTGAAGCTGCTTCACCAGGCTCCACTGAGATGCCAGCAATAAATAGACAACCCGCTTGCCTCCCACTTTACACAGAGTACAACAGCAAACCGCTCCACGCGACCCTCGAAAATAACGTGTTATGCTAAGCTGAAGCTCGACAAGTGCATTCAAATGATATGCATTTAATTCTCAGGCTTAAGTGTGTAATGGAATGAGGGAGCCATTTGTGGGAGATGGGGGATGTTCATCCCTTGTCCTGAAGTACAGCTGAAACTGAAGCAGGCCCCTGTCCTTGACGATGACTGAGGGCCACCTGCGGGGACCGAAGGCCAAGGGCTCCTACCCTGTCACCGTGGAGTCCTTACGCCACTGGCAGGCAGCTGGAGGAGGCCTGTAAACATGCAACTAATTGGCTAGTAAGCATAAAATTAGCTAGTAGAGGCAGAGAGGAATGAGTAACTATGTGTGGCAACTGGCTGAGAGACTGGGGCCAGTGTAAAACTCCTTAAATATCTGTGTTCTGAACGCACAAAGTCTTTGCCTGTGCAGCACTGTGTCCTATGGTGACCCAGCAGCTCCTACCAGTTCCAATACATACAGGCTACTGGATCTTCTGTGTGGCCCGCCTTCTCGAGTCTGAAGGGGAGGGGCCATGGTTAATATGCCAAACAGGGCAGCCCAGATTGGTGAGTTTCATGTGCCCAAGTCAGTTTCAGTAATAACTCTGTGCTGAGTCTTCGGCACCATTCAGGAACACTTGATATCACGTCATACTCTGGATCAGGTCCAAAAGCCTTTCCTCACGGATCAAACGTAACCTTTGTGTACAGTAATCTAACTCACACAGGATGTGCACAACAACCACCACCATAACAACAACAACAACAAGCAACAACAACCCTCAAGCTTTCCTAAATGACACCCTGTTCCCAAATGATTCACACAAGCCAACAATAAACGGGATACGGTGCGTTTTAAGCAAAA